GACTATTGTAAAGTCAGTGCTGCGAAAGGCCAACTATTAAAGGATATAGTGGTTTGGACTGACTGTGCAACAAACAGGCTTATGATATATGGCTTGTCCTGCTGAGTGAATCAAGCTACTCAGCAACACGTCGCATCACATTCTGCCAAGTAGCGCGCCATAGCAGTGACTGCGGTGAAGGACACACACACAAACAAACATACACAAGCAAGCATATGCATAAATATCTGCATTAATGCAGGAGCAAACACAAAAGAAAATGTTGTCCTTAAAAGGTTTTTGGAGATGCATACTGGAACAAACCACAAGACGCTTCCACAAGTTCTTCTATCTGTCACTGCCAGAGGGTGCCAGGATGTAAGGCTCGAGCTTTTCTGTTTTCCTCAACCATAATCATCACACATATTAGCTGTAGGTCACTCCAGCAGATATTTATAGAAACCCCATCTTATGCAATCCACAGAACCAGACTCAGCTACTCTGAGTCAGACAGAGAGGCAGGAAAGAACAAAGAAAGGGGAGAGAGAGGGGCAGGGAATGAAAGTGAGCCAGATAGACAGAATGACACAAAAAGGGGCTATGACAAAAATAGTGAATGAACCTGCAGGCTGGGGAGAGTTTAATGGAAGTACAGAAATAAAGGAGTGACACTAAGAAAAACTAAAGTAAACCTAAGGAAGCCCAAAATGAAAAGGGAAGAAAAGACTTAAAATTTAGACTTGCATAAGATTTGTCTATACTATTCAAAGTCTTCTGAGAAAATATGAACAAAAAGTTTTTATTTCATTTTCTAATTGTATGCTAAAGAGGGAAACTGAAACTGAACAACTCACACTTTTCTACCTGCACTGCTACATAAAATGAATGGCTGTTTTTTTCTTGAAATGTCAGTTGAGTGGCACCATACTTTTAAACAAAATGTCATTTTTTATAACATTTTTCCTTCTTTAGGCCTGTGATAATGTAAAGCCACATGAAATCATCAACTCAACACAACTGTCCGCTTCACTTCAAAAGGACAGGAGCAGGTGACATGCAACAGCACGTTATGAGCCACAGTACTCATAGCTACGATTTAACAGTTGGTGCCTTAAACTGTGATGATGCAGCTTTCCAAACGGTGACAAATCTACACAAAGGCCAACAGTCGAACACATTCTGACATATTTCTATTCCAGCAGCACACTCTGGACTTTTGTGGTAGAATTTACTGAAATATAGATGTGAATCACTGTTAAACTTGCATTTGTAATAACTCATAAGGAGTGTTTCTTTATTCATCCTAATTTGTGAACAGCAAAAAATAGGACCTAAAGAGACAAAGCGTATTTTTTATTTGTAATGTCATGCAGACTTAGAACCAGGAAATGCTTTTGTGATGATGAGTTTGAGATCAATCTTGTAGACTCTAGTTTGAGCGTTTGCACCCACTCAGCTTCAGTGGTGCTTCCAACTGAGATTTTCACTGAAAAAAACTTTTTAGCTTTGGCCTCAATCCATTTCTGTAAAACTATGAGCTGTGTAACTCATTTAGGCTCTGAGGGATGCAAGTAAAATTTCAAAGTATTAGGATTAAAGTAAGTGTCAAAGAAGGTTTTTTAAGGCAAGTGGCCACACACCTTTTGCCATACAAAGAAATTTCAAGGTACATAATCCTGACTTTACTTTTCATTTGTTTCACCAGTGTTCCCACAACAACAACACTGTAATAAGTCTAGTTTCAAAGATGGATTTGACTAACAGGCTACAGTGGATATGGGGTGTAGGGGTTATATTTTACAGCACCTGTGGGCGTGTGCATGTGTTTGCATATTGCCTCTGCAGCCTGGTTGCATTGTCAGGCCTCCCCCTTTATTCATTCCTTTGCACTGTCCTAAGATATATACGTTAAGGTTACTTTTGAAAACTCCATGCTGTTAAGTAACCTTACATTAAGCTTTAAACTGCCCCTGGCAGTAACTCAGTTGCTCAATCTGGTGACCTGGCATGGAATGTCATTTTTATGTTGCCAATGGTATGAGAAACAGAGTACCTTATTAAGTGATGAGAAAAACAGCAGGGGAGGTAGCCTAAGGCATAAGAAGGAAATGTGCTGGCAGCGGCCCTGCTCTGTGTTATGCAATCCAAAAGAACAGTTTGAACATGTAGATCCTCCAAATGTGTAGATTTTTATGGTTGAGACTCAGTTGCCTATTAGTCCACAGTTCTGAGACACATGAATCAGACAGAAGAAGTTTATGGACATCCATGGACAAACACAGATAGATGAATTAAATGATGCCAATGAATTTAATTTTGAATTTGAAGTTCATTCAAAATGAAACATGGTCAGAGTCCTGAAAGACACTGCACGATGTAACTATAATATTACAGAAAGCCAAAGTAATGACATTCAGGCTAGCCTCTGTTCCACTAACTTCTGTAACTCAGAGTAATCTCTCATTCAGCATTTATTTAATGACTTTCTGAAAAAAAAAATGAAGTGTGTTCCTGGGATATTGTAAGACAAATCTGAATCCACTACAGCAGTTGCAATAAGAAATAGAAACCATTGTGACTTTAAAAAGTTAAAGAATGTTTACTTTGTGAGAAGTAAAAAAAACAAAAACTACAAGCTGGAGAGGGCAGGTTCTTTAGTCATAACTCTGTTTCATCAATATCCATAAAACTCACCAATGATCTCTTCTAAAGTCAGTTTTTCAGCTTCTAAGTTGTAATCTCAGCTGTCTAGAAACATCTACAGCACTCTGTCTCTCTGTCCTGCTGTTATTACAGACATGTCTGAGCTGGCTGTGACCTCTTGACTCGCTCAGGGACTCGCCTCTTCTGTTGAGAGCAGTGATGTTTAGCCTGTGAACATCTAGGGCGTATGGGAAATGGTCAGGAAACGATTGTTCCAAGGCTGTATTTTAGCTCTTAGCATAGTTACAAATGTCAATGGGAGTTTTGAAAGGTTTTCTTACTTATGGAACAGAACCCACAAATTCCAGTTTCACAGGTCTCTATAGGAAAGGACTTTTTGTGTTAACTTGAGTGATAGTCTAGCTGATAATATGGCTGATGTCATATATAATGTTCATCCTTCTCAGGCATTTCAAGTGACATTTGTGTGTACCTTACTTTACCCTTCAGGCTTAACACCACAGCCAGGTGACTGTAATCCATCTACAGACGACAGCTTAGATACAGAATAACAGCTTTGAATCTTTAGCTGTCTTGGCCTCACATACAACAGGCTATCTAGAGGCTGTGTAATCCACACCAAACTGCCACCTAAACATTAAGCTAAAAATCAAAAAGTGCTGTTTAAATCGATGAAGCTAACATGCTTAATAATGATCACATCATTAGTGAGCCCTCCGAGCTGTGTCTCTGTCACACCAGTGTCCATGAAACACCCCCGGATTCCTCAACCCAATACAGAGCTAAAGCGTTAGACAAAAATAAACTAACTCTTAAAAAATGTATAATAATTCAAATACTGTTAACATGTTAAAAAGAGGTGTGATCATTATTACATCAGTATATGTTTTCAAAGAAACAAAGAAACAAACAGAGCTCAAATGAGGCCAAATCATCTGTGCAAAAATTGCTGGTGCATTATTTAAACAAACTGGAAAGACATAACACAGTTTAGCATCATCTCTTCATTGATGCATTAAAATTAACACAAAATTAAACATACCAAAAACAATATGTCAGACATGATATACATTTTGTAGAAAGGTAGACTAGTGATATTTACAGAGACCATTTAGTTACAAAATTTCACAAAGTGTTGAAGTGTGAGATCAACCCAATTAAATCTGACCTATTAACCTCTTACCAAATAAATATTAATGTTCAAGTGACACCTGCTATGAAGCTAGTCGAAAATATCTATATTCCTGCCGAGATTAATTCATTCTGAATTCATTTTCAAAAGCAGCCACTGCTAGCTGTCCTCTGTCATACTGTCAACTGACCACTTCCACATGCTACAAAATCAAGCAGGACAACCACAGGCAAACATGAATAATGAGCAATAAAGCAGAGCAGCACTCCATATCAAAGGGCCAATATTCTTTTCCGTTTTATACAAACTATACTGTTGTCATCCATTACACTATGAACCCCATTGGAACAATTTCATACAAACCTATAAACAGATAAGTTTGAACTGAATGAATAAATGAGTGCCGCTGCTGACTTATTGCTCATCTCGTTTGTTTGCACATGTTGGAAAGCAGTTCTCTTCAATCTAAATCAGCAGATTGAATGTTCGGTAAACAGGTGGGCTTTACTGTAATAACTATGTTATAATTATTAGAAAAGGATGAAGGAGAATGTAAGAATGAAGGAATTTAAAGAACTACGGATTATATAGCCTTAGTCAGTTGATCAAGCACCAAATCTTTGAGTGTTATAATAATATGTGTAAAGCATTTGTAAAAGGTTTAATACTTTGGATTTGGTGCAAAAAAATATTTGTATATCCTCTGCCTGCCAAGTTACTGCTCTCTCCCCAACATATGAGTGGCCCAGTGCAAGTATTCACTAAAGGAAGAGAAGGAGAGCAGAGATAAGCTGTCTTGCATGGGAAGATCTGCTCTCTCATGACACAGAGCCCTAGGAGCTTATCCTACATGTACACAACAGGAAGCCAAGTAAGAGTTCACTGCTCTCTCTCTCTCTCTCTCTCTCACACACACACACAAATGCATGCAACAAAATCACGCAATACTAATATCATGGGAGTTGTAACTGCACAAAGCTTACTAAAGAAAACATAACTAATGATTTAGTGTACGAGTCCAGCAGACTTGCACCCAGTCACACATTTACAGTGACAGCATTGTAGCCAACCGATGGATAGCTGTCATCTCGTACTTGTCAATCAGCTGCAATAACACAAGGGCTGACAGTTGACAGCAAGTAGCTAAGGTTTAATGTGGCACATCAAAGTGACGAGGGAGACATAACTGTGAATCATAATATGAGGATTAGATGGTCTGACTCACCGAATGGTTGACTCCCCACATAAGCACGCTGAGCAGAGGGTCGCTGGCACGGAAGAGCTTCACTTTCTGAGCAACGAAGTGTTTTTTCTTGGTCTTCGTTTTACTCGCAATTGATGCGGCAATGCTGCTCGCCGAAGCCATCTTAAAGCAAATTGACTGGTTAATGCAGTCTGTGCGATAATCTCAACAGTGTCTTCCCTTGAAGCTGGCACAGTGGCCACCGGCTCACGATTCACTAACACCAATACTATTCATTTAGCCAGCTTGCAAATCAAAGTACCCCAATCCTTTTCTTCATCCAACGTCCCGCACAGCTTGACTGACGATATGGCCCTTCCTCTACAGGGACTGATATGGAAAAAATACGATGTGTTTTAAGTTAATACTGCTGCTCTCCCTCGCCTAACAGTCCGCCGCTTCCCTCAGCCCACATCACAAGTCACCTCTCTTCCTTCCTTAACTCGCCTGGAGCTCTCCGCACCCCTGCGATGTAAGGTCTCACTGAGCTGGCGTTAGCATAACCGAATAGCTTGCTAGCTAGCAAACATCAACGATAAATTTTGTAAAATTAAAAAACGTATAAAACGGGAAAAGCGCGAAGCCCCGTGACAGAAGAAAAACAAATTATAATGCAGCCTTAAAACAAATTGTTAAAATGACACGTTAATGAAGCTGAATAGCTAACTAAACGATCTTGTCTACCAGCTAACGTTGGTTTCTCCGACCTTCGCTAGCAAGCCAGCTTTGTAAGGTTAGCCAACCGACGGCACAAAGCAGAACGGGAGTCCGTTCACCAGCCAGCTACCATTAGCCTGCAAGCTAACTATTAACATTAGCTAGCAGCTCACAACTAGCAAGCGGCTCAGCTAACCTCCTACGCGTTTGTGGTCAGTCCGTAGAGATGACTAGGGCATATCCTGTCATGTTCTTTCCCCGTTTGAATTAAAACACCGAGGACCAGATATTTAAACGTGCTATCAACGGGTGGTCAATTTTGTCTGCAGCACTGAGGTTCATGTGTGCCGCTGTCAAATGACAGCTCGACAGAGGGGAGGTGACAGCCTGCGCTTTGCAGTGTCTGCTGCGCTGATTCGCTGCAACCCCCTCCCTTCACCGGACCTATGCTACTTTGCTGTGCTTTTTATAGCACACATGATCCTTTTTATATCTAAATTTGAATTATCAATTTCATATTGACAATTGACTTAATCAGAAATGTCTACCGAGTGTAAAAATATAAAAACTAACTGGATGTGTATCATTTTCAGGTGGATCTATGAGTGTGAGTGTGCATGCATGAGACCAGGTATTTGCCTTTGCCTATTGCAGCTCGTGTAATAATGCATTAGAAGAATAACCTGTACATCAACCCAGCCATCCCCCACCCGAGGCTTGCTTTAGCGTAGATTAATCACAGGCTCATTTCAGGCAGCAGTGATAATGTCCCACACCACCAGAGGTAATGTCTTTAGAGGACATTTGATTTTCTGGTGCAGACTGTGCTGTTTCCACTGGCACATTGCTGTGTCAGTGCCTCTCCAAGAGCAAGCGGCTTCACTATGCTGATGCTGTATAGAGCTCATTTGTTTTATGACTCATTCTTCACAGCAGCACTTTTACCTCAATACTATTCCTATGACCTACACGGGACAGACTCAACACACACACAAAGCCCACTCACTCACATGATGTCCTACAAATTCCCTTTTGATTTTTCAACATTTCCCCTATTTTATGGAGGATTCCCATCTGTTTATGCAAATGTGAGAATTATGATTATTAGTTGATCAGCAAGCATACTCAGATAACTGATCTCAGTCTATGTCACAGCTTTAAAGGATTCATATTTTGTTTTTGCTGTCTTTGGCACAGTCTTGTAATTCAACATGTCACTGTGCATTATTTTACTGTGAACTTTGCATTTTCATTGCGGTGTGCATTTGACGAATAAAACCCTTAACTAAACGTAGTTATAAGTTCTGACTACATTTACATCTATGTCAGTCTTGCGAATAAGCAACACTGTTGATGTCAGTCAACATTGTCCAATCCACAAATGAAACTCAATAACGTAATATATATCTATTAAAGATTAAACTGGCTTACCGATATGATAATAACCCTAGCTATAGCTAACGTTCAAAGTAATAAATGTTCAAACCCTTATATAGCCCAACGTGGCACCCGTTGCCTAGCAACGCAGTGTCACCTTCCGTTTCCAAAACACTAAACCTACTGTGTGGTTCTTCTGGTCGGCTAGCATTTATAAATCTTTGAGCTTGTCCCTTAGTTCGGAAAAATTTGGGTAAGTTGTAATGACTGTTTGAGATATCGAACCGCAAGCGTGCTTGTTTGTGTTGTTAAGAGTCATTTGTGAAGTCGTTTGCCAAGCTGAGTAGCCGGCTAAGACGTTTGGTTAGCTTTGTAGTTTCAGTTGCTAAGTCTGCATGTATTTATATTTACCTATAATCACTAAACACTAGACACGTTTAGTTAAAATTCAGTTTCTCTCTAAGGCCGCAGGATGGGAAAGAAAGTGAAGAAGGATAACGAAACTCCATGCAAGGAAACGGTGAGACATACTGTATGATGAAAGCCTTGTCCTCTTTACCCTTTGATCAAGCCTAGCTAATGTGTTTCTGAAAGGTACACAATTTTGTGTTCACTTAAACAGACGCCCTGAAAACATACCGTGCATCTCAGGGAGAGGATTATAAAGCATTTACATCTCTCTCTCACTCCGCACAGTTTGAGGCACTACCATTTGAGGGCAAAACTCCAGCAACAGTAGTCCTGCTGCTGAGCTCACCAGAGGAGGACATCCTAATCAAAGCCTGTGAAGCTCTCCACATATTTGCAGAGAAAGGTACAGTTGGCTACCCACTGCTAACCCTTACACATATACATTTTTTTTTTATTCATGGGCAACCTTCAGCTGAAAAGCACAATTTTTTACTTGTGGCTGACTACTTGTCTGATCTTATTTCCTGACATTAATTGTGAATTCTACACCATCATCTAATATGTTTTCATTCTACCCTCATGAAGACATTTGTATACTTTTGTATATCAAGAGCAGCTGACATGTTTAAAACTATCAACATGTTCTTTGTAATAAAAAAAGCCCTTTTATAATGTGTATTACCATCTTGAATACTGTCCCATTTTAGTTTAAGGCCTACTTCTGCCATATTCTAGTATAGCTTGCTCACATCTTCACTGATGATAAGTCCACACAGCCACTCAAGCTCTGTCTGGCACCATACTGAAGTTTCCTGTTCACTGTCTCCCCCTGTTGCTAGGAGATGAGAACAAGGTTTCTCTGCTGGATCTTGGGGCATTGGAGCCTCTCTGTCAGCTCATCACTCACAACAACAAGCTGGTCAGACGCAATGCCTTCATGGCCCTGGGCATCATGGCCATCAATGGTGTGTCAGACAACACGTGTCATCAATGGGGACTTGCCTACTGAGGAATTTGATGGCTTACAATGGAACTTATATAACTAGTGGCTAACTGACATGACGATTTCCTGACAGGCAGTTGACTCTGCTTAATGATTTATTGACTGGTTTCAGAATTGATAGTTTTGTTGGCTTAACAGACTGAGTGACTGGCTGATGAGTTGGCTCACTGAATATCTGAGGGGTTAACTTTGTCTCTTGTTTTCATTGAAAGGTGATGTAAAGAAGGCTCTGAAAAAAATGAATGTCATTCCATCGATTATACATAAACTGTCCCTTGAAGGTGAGTAATTTTGATTGTAAGATTAGTAGACTCCAAAGCATATATTTCTTGAACACTAGCAACAATAAAACAAAGAAAACCAAAGATGTCATGTCGTTTTCTCAGGCACTTTAAAAATATTTGTTACATACAATCATTATACAGCACATGCCTACTTATGCATGTATATTTCTATGTGTTTAATCCTTTATGTTTCTGTTTTGTTTGTTTTTTTACATATATTTTCTTTTCTATTCAAGAAGATACAGTCGTCCATGAGTATGCAACCCTGTGTCTGGCCCCTCTGTCACTGGATTTTGTCTGTAAGGTCCAGATCTTTGACAACAAGGGCTTGCCATCTCTAATTCAGCTTCTATCCAGTCCAGACCCAGATGTTCAGAAGAACTCGCTAGAGATCATCTTCAACCTAGTTCAGGTTACTCAAAGTCATCAATTTAGAGGAAGGTTACAGAGCTAATGTGGTTATAGGGCTTTTCATTGAAGACAAGTAGAAGTTATATTTATCAGTACCACAAAAGCCATTAAATACATCATTGTTTTAGAAGATATAGTGTTGGAATTGGTGAAATTCAAATTGTTTCAAAATCCTTGTTATCCTCTTGTATCCTCTGTTGTATTGTATGTGTGAAGGACTACCAATGTCGCCTGGCTGTTCATGAGTTGGGCGGGATCCCTCCACTTCTGGAACTGTTGAAGTCTGACTTCCCTGTCATCCAGCATTTGGCTTTAGAGACGCTGCAGAATGTTACAACTGATAAAGATTCACGCAGTACCTTCAGGGAGGACCAGGGATTTGACAAGCTCATGGATATCCTTAATAACACAGTAGGTGTGTGTGTGTGTGTGTGTGTGTGTGTGTGTGTGTGTGTGTGTGTGTGAGTGAGACAAAACAAGCTTTTGTGGGAACACGTATATCTTAGTCCCACCCCTTACTTTTAATAAGAATGAGAAGAAAAAAATATGCGATGTAATAATTAATAATAACTGCCTAAACAACTGCAGTTTTAACTACTATGCTGCACACAGATAGAATCAACTTCCTGATGATCTCAAATGCACCCAACTCTAGCCACTTTCAAATCTAGATCAAACACTCTGGTGTTCTCCTATACCTTTGGTTTCTCTTCTGCATTTTTATTTTTGATTGCTGCACTGGGGGGTAGCTTACAAGTTATTACTGCACTACATCTGTACTTCTGATCCATTATTGTTTTTGTCTATTTCTTTTTTATTTCATTTTATGTATTTCATTTCATATTATCTGTTTTAATCTTATTTTATTCTACCTTAATTGATTTTATTCTGGTTTTTATTGTGTGTTGTCTTTGAATGTCATTCTAAAGCTATTCCTTGTCTTTGTAAAGTACTTTGAATTACCTCAGTGTTTAAAACTAGCTATATGCACTGGTCAGCCACAGCATTAAAACTGGTAACTGGTTTTAATATTGTGACTGAAACTACAAAATATGTTCTAAATCACATTACTAATGGTTCAGAATGAACTCTTTCAACAGGCCACAGAAGAGATACACCGATCAGACACAACATGAAAACCAGTCACCTGTTTTAATGTTGTGGCTTAGTGTAAATAAACTGCCATGCCTTGTCTTGCCTATGTATGCATTTTATATTTGCACAATTAGCTGTAAATAGTTCCCTTTGAATTAGCACTCAACAATACCTTTTTTATCCCTATATTTTTAAATCTTACAGGACTGCAGTGACCTTCATGCTGAGGCCTTACGTGTATTGGCTAACTGTTTGAGTGACAGTGAGAGTGTACAGCTGATCCACAAGGATGGAAGACTGACAAGGCTGATGGATTTTTTAGTCAACCCCAACATACCTGAAATCCAGTCCAGTGCTGTTAAATGCATCGCCGGGGTTGCTCAGATCTGTAAGCTAGAGGGAGATGATACATTTCTTTTAACTTTTTAACAATAGATTTGAAAGTCATAATAACACGTTTGTGTGTTTAGCTGAAAATCGCATACTGCTCCATGAGCTTAATGTGGAGAAGGTTCTGGTGGAACTTCTGTCTGAGGCAGACATCGGCGTGAAAACATCTACCTGCCAGGCTGTGGCTGCCATGAGTTTCCACCTAGCCAGTCAACACCGCATCAGAGACCAGGGTACATAGACATTCACATAATCACCATATTATCAACACGCTGAGTACACGCTTCACGCTGTGAAGTGTGAATGAGTTTGATTTCTGTGTGTTTCAGGTGGTATCCCTGCAGTGGTACAGGGGCTGAGCAGTGAGAACCTGAAGCTGAGAGAGGCAGCAACTCAGGCCCTCTCTAACCTCACACATAGCAACCACCTCAACGCATCGTGAGTGACAGACAACTTGAGCGCATTTATATACACACCACTATCCTCTTGGAATGAGGCAGGTATTTTTTGTCCTATTAGATAATGTAAATGCCATTGCCACAGTAAGTTACACAAAAAAGAACTAGAAAACTTTAAGGTGCATCAGAGGATGCATGCTACAAAATTTTAACATTATAGCTTTTTTGCCAAATGTGTTAAACAGTTAGTGATAAGTTTGCAATCTCTAAAAATGAGGCTTTGAAGGAAGCAGTATGCCCTCCTCTCCACTATTTCACTATTTCAATGATTTAATGCTTCATCTGTCTCCTCATAGTTCTCTCTCACTGAATATCTCTTTGCTCTCCCCTTCTCTCTTCCACATTTTTATTCTCCAGACAAATCCTCTCTGCACCCATCATCTCTCACTGCCTGACTTCATATTTCAATATTACTGTCTCCTTCAGTTCTCAGGACACTACGAGTTATTTCTACCTCCCATGCAGCATTCTGTCACTATCCCTGTTCCTACTGTTAGTTTTCTTCTATACACTACTTACAGTATCTTTCTGATACACATGTCCCATAAATGCCATGTTGCCATATGCATGTATCCAGACTGCATTTATAGTCAAATCTGTGGGTTTGCAGTAAATCTTCCATCCATTTCTATGGTATTTTCCAGTGCAGTGTATGAGGCAGGAGGCCATCAGATCCTTGTCCAGCAGCTCTATGGAAGCTGTTCCAGGACGGTAGCCAATGCTGCTGCCACACTTGGCCACATGGCAGGACAGGAAGGTATCCGCTGCAGCATCTTGTCACATGGAGCCATACAAGCTCTGGTTGAGCCCTTGAAGTCCACAGATACACGGCTCTTGATCCGCACCACACAGTGTTTGGCAGTGCTAGCGTGTGACACAGAAGCTAGGGCAGAGGTTGGTGTTTGGATGTGTCTAATGACTGCTCAGAATGCTGCCTTGTTATCATGATTGTGAATTACAAAAGTATAATAATGAAATTTGGAGATAAAGGAAATATCAGTTAAATTTACTAATACTGTTCTTATTCTTATCACACAACAAACATCTATAAAACAAACAAATGTTCATTATAAATAATAGTAAATAATAGTTTACTATGAATTGTCCTGCAATATTTAATATGCTTTCCCTGAGTAACTAAAATTCAATGTCCCACATAGCTTCAGAGTGCTGGAGGCCTTCAACCACTGGTCAATTTGCTGCGATCCAATGACAAGGAGATATTGCACAATGCATGCTTGGCCATTACTCTCTGTGCCAGTGATGTACCCACCACTGTGGAGATGTGCAAATTTGGGTAAGACACTAGAGGTCCATTGTTGAGTAATGTAAGCTACTACAATCAGAGGTGGACTAAGTACACAGCTCCATTACCTGAGTCAAAGTATAGATACCCCTGGTCAAATATTACTCCAATGCAAGTAAAAGTTGTTCCGTCCCATTCTTACTTGAGTAGTACTGGAGTACTTGATTTTAAACATACTTAAGTATCCAAAAGTAAATTTCTTATGTCAACATTGTATTGTTCCACAGTGCATTTACAGAACTGATACAACCTACTGTATGCACTGACTTACTGTAAAACCTGCAGAATAAAAAGCTTGTAGAATATGCTACAAAGCCTGTGGAAATTGACATATAAACCCAATTGAATCAACAACAGGACAGCCATTGTGGTTTTCATATTTCTTTTTTTTGTAGGCAATGATGATGTTTGGTTGTGGTAAACACAGCAAACATTTAAAAAGAAATCTTTCTTATTCCTAAAACTTCAAACGTAAGATAAGGCCTTGGGTGCTCTGGTGAAGAATCTTCTGCCCCATGTTTATCTAGTGTATCCATTGTTAGGCCACTGCCAAGTTCAAACTTTGCTGTTCAGAAATGCAGCAAGCACAAGTAAACGAACTTGGTTACTGTCCACCCCTGACTACAATTCAGCATTGAAAAAGCACAGTAGAAGTGTAGTGTTGGAGCAATTCATCTCTTGAATAACCAGTAGATGGCAGTATAGAACAGCATAATACATGGCCATGTGGTTAAGTATGGGTCATTTTTTTCATGTGTTTATATTTGCTTATATGTGCATTTTTATATGTATCATAAATATCTGAGTATCTGTATGTGCTGGTGTGCTTGCTGTGTTTATGTTTGCCAGAGCCCTAGAAATGCTTCAGGAAATCAACCAGTCAGTGAATCGTAGTAGCAGTTTCAGCAAGATGGCCATGATCAGCCTGATTAACTGCAACTTGCCTGTGAAATACAGCCTGACAGGTCATTTGGCTTCCACTGACATTATTAGTGATGGTTTCTACGATGCCGGGAAGGTGAGTGCACTATTGCAATTTATGTGCTACAGAAGTCAATTCAAGGAATGTAGATTAAATTTGAATAAACAGGTGTTACAACTCCAGATTTCATTTTGGAACCTAAACTTGCTGTCAAGGTTTCAGCAATGTGATCACAGTAACAGGAAATTAGTTTTCTCTGTTCCCTCTATCTTTCACAAACAACAGATGAAATGTAAGCATTTTGATGGTTAACATATAAGGCTCATTATTTCACGTGATAACATGGTCGTTCTTTGTCTCTCTCTCTCTCTCTCTCTCTCTCTCTCTGTGTTAGGTTCCTGCAGGTCAGAGGATTCTGACTCTAGAGGAGCTGTCCAGGCAGCCAGTTAACCAGCACCGGCCCATCATTGTTGTCAACACAACAGAAGAGTATGAGTCCAATATCACAACACATGGATTAAAAAAAATTGTCCTAAAATTACATACATAAAATATAAAGTGCATTTCTCATCATGGCTTTCCACATATCCCTTAGTGCTTTCGTTTTACATTTCAGAAAGCTGTTTTTAAGTAATCCCCAAACTATTACAACTAACTCAACCCCTTACACTAAACATAGAGCGGGAAATTAACCAGAGCAACCATACAAATAGCAGTGGACCATTACGCTCCTGCACTATTTGATACAATTTATTGTGGCTGTTAGATCACCCTCCCCTTGTCTGCTCCAATCCAGTGCTTCACTTTTCTTCCCTTCTCTCTTTTTTCTCCCTCTCCCCTGTTGCCTTCATTGTACCCCATTAGTGTGGCCTCACAGGGTAAATGATCCCATTTTTTTTTTTAAAGATGGTAACACACGTAGAATAAAAGAGCCTTTGTGTTTAGATGAATGGGCTTCTGAACTTACACAACCACAAACATACACAAGTGCACATGCATGCACGACCATGAAGATGCAACTCAAGATGCTTTTACATAATACCATGTGGACTGAGACACACAAACAAAAACACATTATATGTGTTAAAGGCTGTACATGCATGCACACACTAACGCTTTCAGCATTCAGATGAATTAACGTTGCCAAAGAAAAGAGTACCCCCTTACGGTACCTCAGGTCCACCTCATTTCCCGCATGCCCCCCCTTCATCCAGCATACACATGCAACATCTCAGGCATTCCTAAGCAGGGTGTTATGTAATCCATCCATGGGATCATCCATGGCTTAGTACGAGACAAGTTAAATTTTTCAAAGCAAAATCCCTCATACTAGAATTAAATTTTTTTTTTTTCTGCCTTTGTCTCCTGAGCAAACATGGTGCCTCTTAGCTTTTGCTCCCATTTGTCTGCAAGATATTCTAAGGATCTAAGAATGTAGTAAACTGGTAAGACATGAAGATGAACCAGCTCCAGAAGTTTTGCAATCAGAAAATTCTAATCGTTTTAGTCATCAGCCTTTAGTCATCACCCTTACGTTTTCTTCCATCTAGAAATATATACAGTATATGTATGTGTGTGTATATATATATATATATATATATATATATATATTTATATATATATATACATATACACACAGATATTGATACACAATATATGTATTGTATATTGTGTATCATATTTTTAAGACACTGACTCAAATTTCTTTTTAAATGTACTGTCTCTGTCTACAGGCAGAACAAAGACGGTGACAAACAGAAAGATGAGAGCCAGCCTGGGTCTCCTACACAGAAACCATGGAAGATGATGGATGATGTCTCATTGCAGGTTCTAGTTATAGAGGCCAAAAAATCCATCCTCCGAATGAATGATGAACGAGAGAAGTATGCTGCCTTGGCCAGGTGATAAATGAATGCAGGCAGGATATAACCAACATCAAGAGATGTCACGAGGAATTGAGAAGAAAAATCATGTGATATTAATTGATTGGCAGTCATTGTTATCTGGATCTCCAGAATCATGGAAACAAACCTAATCAACACACCCTTGAAAGTGTTTTTGCACACAAACACCACACTAAAAATGACAGTGGCATGAAACAGCATCGTGCAGATCCAGATACATGGTTGATAACACAATAGATAACATACCATTGTGAGATCTCAGGATACAAAACAAACACTTCACAAATGTTGAGGGTTTCTGCATTGTAACTTGGTTTTGTGTACATGGATTTGGTTGTCAGGCTGGTGAGTGAAGCCATGGGTGGAGCAGTGGAGAAGGAAAAGTTGCACAAATTCTCATGGGTGCTGCACCTCAGCGAACTCAAGTTTCAGCTTCAGTCTAATGTGATTCCCATGGGATTGATCCGCAGGGGAATCTACAGTCATAGGGCACTTCTCTTCAAGGTAACACCGAACTACCTATCACACAGTACGATCAGCTTTTTCTCACTGTGCCAGTCTTTTACTTCTTCATTTTAATCTTTCTTATCCTATCTTCCCTTACTTTCCAGGATTTATATTTCACCATCATCTCATGATATCTCTTTTAAACTCCCTTTTATCCTCCACATAGTATTAGTTTCCCTGTTTTCTTTTCCATCCCAGTTTCTCTTCTTTCCAAATAATCATACCCCGACCTGTCTCTTCTCTCTAACTTTTCAGTGTCTGGCTGATTGCGTTGGAATGAGCAGCACACTTGTCAGGGGCGAGTACGACCGGGCTTGGAACGAAGTACTCGTCTTCAGTGGAAATCCTTCCGGCAATGGCCGCTATTTACAGCCCGCCCGCTTCATAGTAGACCTCATGCACCAGCCTGGAAGCCTATTGGCAACCAATACTCCTGCTGCTGTGAAGTACCAGACTATATAGACCAACATTGCTGTGTAGAAATACAATACTATACAGAATTATGCTGTGACAAGACTGATTTGTATTGTACCCTATATATTTGTCAGTAGACCTTTAAACCATACAATAGCATTATTCAAATCCTGACTTGATTATTTTGGTACATACACAAGTCAAAAAGAAAAAAACAAGTCTTATCAGTGTTGTAATAACAGGTCAAACAATGTGTCAACAGAGTCCAACTCAAGTAAGTTACAGTTGGTCAGCAAGTGGTCTTTACCTTCTGTTTCTGCCTCAGCTGAGGTCAGAAAATCTATTTTTGTCAGTTATTGGATCATTTATTAACCATGAGACATATTGCGTGTTAACATTACACAGCACCAAAAAAAAAAATCATCTTATGTGTTTTTTGTTTGTTTGTTTTTGTTTGTTTTTTGGGTAGTTTTGTTGGAAAAAAAAATCTTAATATTTACCGTCAGCCTGATTTATTTTGCCCTAACTAAGCTCACACGTTAACATTATGATGCTCTTTGCACGCTGCCTAGCAATAAAAAGCCAACAAACCTAATCGGCTTTGACCTATATAGCTTGAAGTGTGATTTTTGACCGGGTCACCAGGCTAACAGCCTGGATCAGCCGAGAGAAGACCGGCGAGAACTCGCCGCGGCGTAAACAATCCCGACGCAGCGAGTGCACTTGTCTCCCACTGAATCCTGCTCTTGATTTAGACCACACTGACAAACTCGATCATCCAGACTACACACAGCAGCAAACATGTCTCGATTCGTCTCTCGTCTCCTCGTTGTTGTTTCTCACCATGCGACAGCCAGAGCCGTGGTGTCACCGAGGAGGATCCCGGTGTTCATCCGTCCTGTTTCCACATCTCAAGGGACTGGGGGTGCGTTTGGTTTCCTTATTTGGCACTTTTTTTTTTTTTTTTTTTTTTTTTTTTTTTTCGGATACACAATATACAAACTTGTAGCTGCTAATCCCTGCAGGTGCACCATGCTGTAGTTTTCTCAAATTGGATATTAGGACATTTCAGTCTGTTGAGGCAGTTTGGTTAAGCTGTGATAAGAAACAGGCGGCAACAGGTTCCTGTTTGTACAAACAGGACTGTTAGCAATGGTGTCTGTTTTTCTCACACCTTATGCTTAATCGTGACTTTACTGTTCACTGATCGTTTAGTTGAAAAATTTATAACATTTTGATATTGATATTTTTGTAATATCTATAATATTAGCAGGGTTTATGAATAAATGCTCGACTGGTTGAATGTTATATACTTTAGAAGTTCGGGTTGTGAAATGTGAAATTGTTATGACTGTTTCGTTAAAGAATATGTTACCTTCTTCTCTGGTGGCCTTCTCACTTCAAGCAGTTTGTTCCAAGTCACGTGATAACAAACATTTTTCTCAATTTGGCTCCAAAGTCCTCATGGTCTGTGGTGTTAATGTTGTGTGGAGATTGTTTGAATGTGTCATTGATGGGCAGTTGCCACAATCAATCTTATTTTTGCTTTATATGTTACATACTGATGGACCAATGGATGTAATTATTTCCAGTGTAGTATCTTCAGATGCACATGCTGCAAACCATTATGTGACTCATTCATTGCAACTTCTGCTTTCTGCAGGCCTGCAGTCTCTCACCCGCTATGATGAGACCACAGACTGGCAAAAGAAACTCACCCCAGAACAGTATGTAGTCACCAGAGAGAAAGGGACTGAGGTGGTAAGTTTCATATGTGAAAAAATACAATAAGTTGTGAAAATAATGTTTAATAATAATGCCAATGCAACATTGTGTTCTGAATTAATAAATGGAAATGCAAACATGATCATTAACACAGGGATTTTTGTCAAACAAACACTATCTCAGTCAAACAGACTGACATAGATATTGTCTCATAATCAGCACAGTTCCAGGTGGACTTTGATCATCACTTTATTGTTGACCTGAGACAAGATTAACCAGTTCAGCTACAAACCTTTCGTATATTATGAATTAAGAAGCTGCTTGATAAACAGCGGAACTTGAAACACAAAGTGATTTTACATGTAATAAGAATAAGAATAAGGTCAAGTCACTGTGTTGCTCTCACACAACCATGAGCTTAAAGACACAATACTAATATGATGATACTCTGTTACTCGTGTCTCTGCTCCTAACACTGTTTTGGTGTGTGTGTGTGTGTGTGTGTGTGTGTGTGTGTGTGTGTGTGTGTGTGTGGGTGCTCGCAGCCCTTTAGTGGCATCTACCTTAACCATTATGAAGTGGGGATGTATCACTGTGTCTGCTGTGAGGCTCCACTCTTCAGGTAACCGATTACTCTGGAGGGTCAAAGTAATATTTCATACACACATTCACACACACTTATTTTTATATTTTATTCTCGTATAGGGCATATTTGTTAATATTGTCAGACTACAATCTTCTACAGAAAATACTTCAATTTCTACCACAACAATGTTTAATGGAGACTCATTCCATCCTCTTTTCTGTTAGTTGTTGATAAATGCTCATTGAGAAAATGTTGCTCTCCTTGTTGACAGTTCAGAGGCTAAGTATGACTCAGGGACAGGCTGGCCGGCATTCAAAGAAGCTCATGGGACATGGGAGCGGGATGAAAGTCACGCCTCCGTCATTCGTCGCCCTGACAACAGCCTGGGTAGTGCTGGGACAGAGGTCCTTTGTAAAAATGTGAGTTGTGTTCTGAGCTATGAAGCCAAAGTTCAGTTTGCTTATCATAGCTGCTATAGGTAATATAGCATTGTCTGCAGTTTTTTATAGAGCAGTGTAGCTCAGAATTAAAAATGTGCATTTCATTTATATTTTGCATTCAGGATTTCATTCAAAATTCTCTTGAAATACACTGTATTTTTGTTTGACCGTTACATTTTTGGTGTGTGTTTTGCAGTGTGATTCCCATCTGGGACATGTGTTTGATGACGGACCAGACCCAACAGGTCAGCGGTTCTGCATCAACAGTGTGGCCCTCACGTTTAAACCCAGAGAAAACAACAAACCTGAGAAGCCGGAGGAAAACTGATGAACTATACAGACTTGCCTAAACCACTGAAAAAACACTTACTGTATGTTTCCCAGTCCTTTGTAGGAGGCAAAATGAAGGTCATGGTTTTGACCAATACAGGTCTGGAAGTGAGAAGCTTTGTGTGTTTTAATGTTTGAATTTTGGTGTAAGTGGACATCCTGGGGTTTATTAAACTGAAATAAACTCTTATTCAGAAGAACTTGGTTATATGCACTGGAGAGAAGACTACAAATCTGCTGATCATATACTGTATTACATGATTCACACAAAGGGTCACCTCAATTACCTAATGAAAAACATTCTCCCTACCCTAATCACTGTATTGTTTTGGTTTTTTTTTGTTTATTTTATTGTTTCCTGATTTTTTTTTTGAACTGAATGATCTTTAAAAATGAGAAACATGAAACTTTAGTTTAGGACATAGTGGCTAACCCCAAAAAGAACTGTCTTTAACAGCATTATTATGTTGTCTTCATGTCTGAATACACTGGCCCTGAATTAAGACTACTCTTTCTGTAGAGATTGTAAAACACGGGAAAGTATAACATTGCTGCCTCTTGAGTTTTTCAGTCTGGTGCCACATGTACAAATCCAAATGCCTTGTCTGTTTCAGTAATTGCACAGAATCGACTGATAGTTTGTCAATAAATGCACATTTTGTTTGTTCTCTGAATCCATGGTTTTGATTTACTGTTCTGCACAGTTTTCAGGATTTATAAGCCAGTACTAAATGAGAGTTTAATGCTGCCCTCTGTAGTTCAGATGCACACACTGCAACACTGCAACACTGCAGTATGGCCTTGTCTCTGCCAGTAAACCAAGTTAATATTTAACATTACTGGCCATCCTCTGTTTGGCATTGTTTGTGTTTTGCAATATGTCTGTCTATGCAATTCCTCTGTGTTTTAGTGAAGGGGAAGAGAACAGACAGAGACAGGGGAGACAGAAAAACCGGAGAAGGATACAGGAAGCCGACAATCCTGATTCTTGAGTGTATTACTGTCAGAGTAAGGATGGCTGGAGTGTGGCGATGCATCTTGGCAATGATGCTATTGATGTGTGTGTGTCTGTGGGATCACAGTGAGGCCGTAGGGGGGGCTGTTAGTAGGAAGCGAATCAAGGCACCAGTGTACAAGAAGCCAAAGATCACCCCTATTGATGTGGCCCCATCACCACAGCACATAGACATAAATCGGGTAAGAAACTGGTGGGAAAGGCTAAGCATATTAACTACTGTAACTACTGTTTGACTGTGTATTATCGCTTTATTATTCACATGTCTGCATATTAACCGCTGCTTTAAATAATTATCTCTAGGTTGTCCAGGTTGTGTTTGATATAAAGTGACCACTTTAAACTTCTGTTCAAAATGAATTGTGACAAGGCTGGAAAAAGTTTTATGAAACAGCTGCGATGGAAAGAGAAGGTCTCATTTAACTGTTCGGTGAATTAGGGGAAGACTGTTTCCAGGCAATGGACTGCAGCTGCAGCCTGAGTACACCTCAGTAAAGAGTTCACTGTGCTGATACTTGACCTTTGCATGCTGACAGTTTGATTTTGTTTCTCACTTGTTTGTACCATAATGGCACAATCACTCATATAAACAGAACTGCAAAAAAAAAAATCAATGGCATGTTATCACAACATATGAGCCAAAAAGAGGTATTTATTGCTTTGAGGAGAACATGAGGCAAGTGAACATTGTGAAACAAGGACATTTTGTGTCACTTTCCATATGCTGGCTTATCCAGCAAGTTTTTGTCCTCAGTTAACATATTAATAATTTGAAAATATATTAAAAGCTCAGATTTAAATGTTATTTCAGGGGGTTGACCTCTTGAAACATTCTACCCATGTACCCATGCTAAAAATGGCTGATTAACATATTCTTCCAGTGCCTCAAACATGCAAACATATGAGTCTGCTTGGTCATGGATTGGTCTGGGGGCGGGCAATGTGGACATGCTTGTGTAATTGTATCAACATGGTGTTTTAAGCAATAAGGGGGATTGTCAGTGAAATGGAATTTGAACAGAATGAAAGATAATACAGCAGGACATTTGAAACAGACCTCTTTTCATTAACAGAGTGGAGAAAGTTTCAGGTATTACCCTTAATAATCCTGGTGATACCCTGGTAACATAAGGCAGATCCTGTGTAGAAAGGGTGGACAAGGTCATGAACAATGTGATAAGGTGAAAAGATAGTCAATCTTAAGTAAAAAAAACTTGCTTTAGTGGGAGAGGTAGCGCGTTTTCTGTTTGCAAAGTTTATATCTGAGGCTCAACATATATGAAAACATCCTTTTTATGTTTTGTGTCCTCTGTCTCCGTCCACTTTGCCTGATCCTTGTATGTGTTACAGATGACAGGAGTATGGTACCTGCTGAACGTTGCCTCCAAATGCTCGTACCTGATGAATCATGGAACCAGAGCGGAGCCAACACACATTGAAATCACATGTCCCCTTGCCTGTGACAAAACATTGTTTGTCAGCACTAAAACACGATTGTAAGTCCCCACATACTGTGCATTTAGTGACTTTTCAGTACCGGAATTTACCAGCAGAGGGTGCAAATAAGTCATATTTCTCTCCACTCACTTCTTGCTGACTTCATGCTCAAACCACATGTGCTTGATTTTATTTGTGTATCCAAAAACAGGAAGAAGGAGGCAGAACAGTTAATTCCATCAGCTTTCCCTCATCATTTTTAAAAACGTTTAGGTCAACTTGACCTGGTTATTGCAGCAAGACTCAAAAATTAAATGGAAAAAAAAATATGTTGTTTTGGTGGGGCATTCTGTGAAATCTTTGTTGTGATGAGTGGGTTATGAATCATTTTTGGCCCAAGCAGGGGAAAACTTTTTTTTTGTTTTTGTTTTTGCTCTGTCCCTCATGCAACGTTAGAAAATGTGTTCAATCAGAGGCCTGAAACAGAGACAGCACGTTAGATAACAGAAACTTGTACACAGTAAATTACCAAAGTTCACTTTACCAGAATATACAAAACTGTGAGCCAAATATAAATTATATGTTCTGTTCTGTTTTGTTCTGTTCTGTTCTCTTGTCAGTAATCACCAGTGTTGGGAGATACAACAGGTCTACCAGCTCACCCCAACCACAGGGCGACTAACACTTAAAGGTCAGTCTTTCTATTTTATGACTTTATTTAGCATGGCAGTAATTCACTCTGTCTCACCATTCTGTCTGTTATTTCCACCAGGACCTCATCCACATCTGAACACTGACATAGTGATTGCA